CAGTATGTTTCCAGTTCAACAGGAAAGGAGGTATTGTCACATTTAGTTCTTGGGATTGAGGTTGGCCACATTGATCAGTTTTCAAGAGTTAGATATTGTTCTTGGGGCTAAAAGGATCAAAAGGTATGAGGAGAAGCAGGATCAGGGCACTGAGTTAGATGATCAGCCATGATCACAGTGAATAGCAGAGAAGGCTTGAAGGGCCAAATAGGCTACTCTTGCTCCTTTAAGAGCCATGAGGTTATGCTGCAGCTCTATAAAGCTCTGGTTAGACCACACTTGGAATATTGTGTTCAGTTCTGGTCACCTCATTATAGGAAGAATGTGGAAGCTTTAGAGAGGGTGCAGAGGAGATTTACCAGGATGTTGCCTGGACTGGAGGGCAGGTCTTATGAGGAAAGGTTGAGGGAGCTAAGGCTTTTCTCATTGGAGTGAAAAAGGATGAGAGGTGACTTGATAGAGGTTTACAAGATGATGAGAGGCATAGATAGAGTGGATAGCCAGAGACTTTTTCCCAGGGTGGAAATGACTATTATGAGGAGGCATAATTTTAAGGTGATTGGAGGAAGGTACAGGGGAGATGTCAGAGGTAGGTTCTTTCCACAGAGAGTGGAATGCGCTGCTGGCGGTGGTAGTGGAGTCAGATACATTAGGGACATTTAAGCGACTCTTGGATAGGTACATGGATGATTGTAAACTGAAGGGTATGCAGAATAGTTTGATCTTAGAATAGGATAACATATTGGCACAACATCGTGGGCTGAGGGCCTGTACTGTGTTGTACTGTTCTATGTTCTATGTTTTAATCAGTCAGGGAATCAAAAGTTAAGGGAAAAAGGCAAGAAAGCAGAGTTGAGGATTATCAGATCAGCCATGCTCTCAAAAAATGGTGGAGCAGACTTGACAGGCTGAATGGCCTACTTCTACTCCTACATCTTAGGTCGAAAGAAATTATGCCACAACTTTCCTGGAAAATGACAGCACCCCCTTTAATGCCCCGGAGATCAAAATAGGGTTAGACGGTCATGACTCATCATCTAGCTCCATATCACCAAAGTGACCCCGATTAATAGCATCACAGTACAAAATAAAGTTTGTGGAACATAGCAGTAAAGTGTGATCCAAATGAGAAGGCGAGTGGTTTCCAGTCAACTACTATGGATGCCTTCCAGCAGAGCTCTTGTGGATGTTTCAGCTATAATAATTTAGAATTCTCCAACTCTTGGGGTAGACAAACACTCAGGACCAACTAGCAACACAATGAGAACAGTATAATGGATGATGGATTCCATTAGGAACTCTGTATTCTTTCCTGGGATGTGGGTATTGCTGGAAAGGCCAACATTTGTTGCTCATCCCTAATTGCTGTGTGTCTGGGGTCAAATGTAGGTCAGATGAGATAAATGGCAGATTTCCTTTCTTGACGAACATCAGCGAGCTGGTGTTTTAAAGAATAATTGATAGTAGTTGTCATGACAACCATCATTGATCTTAGCTTCAGAAGATTTATTAATTTATTTTAAATTCTACCAGCTGCCATGATCAGATTTGAAACTCTGGCCCCAGAGCATTTGCCTTGGTCTCTACATTATTAGTCTAGTAACTATATCACCATCTCTCCTATTATGATGATAAGAGTAAGCAAGAATTGGCAATCCTTCACTGCTGCATAATTCTCCAATATCTCCTCAATGTCATAAAACTCCACTCAGTGGATAAAAATGGGAAGTAGGAAGAAAAATGGGCCTTTTTTTTCCTGGAATATTTTCCTAAAAAGGCAGCACAGGCAGAAGTAGATTTAAAGGGACACAAGTGAACAACTAAGCCGAGTCAATTGAGCGGATGTGGTTCAAGAACACTTTGGTTATTGACATGTAGAATATTTTAATCTATGATGCTGATGATGCAGAATAAATACTTTTCCAAAATCAACAACCTGTTATTAAACAAGAATGACCTTAAAAAGATGATCAAAGGAAGTTTGAGGCAAAGCAGCCTCTATAAATCTTGCAGGGAACCATAAGGATGAGTTCATTGGGATGAACATATGGAAGTGCAGAACTGTCAAAAGGTGATCAGAATGTCAGAGAAACCTGGAAAAAGAAACACTCAGGATAAAAATTATTGGCTGAAGCTAAGTACAACCATATTTTGCCTCTAATTTCTGAATGTAAAGAGGGCAGTCAGAGGAGGGGGTGAAAATTTTAATAGTTGCAAATTGCCCTGAAACTGAGGATTAACATAAGCCAATTTTCTGAATGAACAACAAAAACAGAAATTGCTGGATAGGCTCAGCAGATCTGGCAGCATCTGTGGAGAGAAATCAGAGTTAACATTTGGGTCAAGTGACCCTTCCTCAGAGCTGGGTGTTGAACATCGCAGAGGTACCTATGATCCCTGGTAGATTCAAAGCACCAAGGATGAAACTTGAGTTGGAATCCACGTGGGGTGAGTCTGAGCCGGTGGCAGTCTCTGAGCAATGTGACGGGGCTGTGGAAATGAATTTTAGCATATAACTGGTCAAACACCAGGAGCGACAGTGAAATTAATGACTGTGTGCAAGAAAAAAGATTGGAATAGAAATCCTGTCTGAGAGAGGAGCAGAACGTCTTCAAGGTGGGCATGCCGAGGAGAGAAGTGGCAGTAAGTTATATACTAAATAAAAAGCTAAAAGAACCATGGGTGCTGTAAATCAGAAACAAAAACAGAAATTGGTGGAAAAGCTCAGCAGGTCTGGCAGCATCTGTGAAGAAAAATCTGAATTGACATTTTGGGTCGAGTGATCCTCTCTCAGCACTGGATTTCTGAATGAATACATTTCTGAATGAATACTTCCTCCAAGGACTAATAGGGGAAATCATGAGCAAGGTTGACTTCACTCTCCCAAAGATCCCATGTATTATAACAAACTTAATATGGAAGTCTGAACAGGCTAGATGGGCTCAAAATAAATAAATCCCCAATGTATATATTTATCCCAGTGTGCCAATACACAAAGGGGCAGATTTGTGAGGCAAGTGCCGTCATCATGAGGGATTAAACTGACACTGGGGGGTCATGATAGTTTGGAAGTTAAGATGATGCTCATGTTCAAGATATTTGATCAGGTAGATGATGACGTTTGGCTTACTCCATTTCTAAAATAGCATGTCATAAATCTCGTCACTTTAACCACTCTGTCCCTGTATCAACGGCCCTAACTTTTTGTTTAAATTATTTGCTGATAATTAAATATAGCTGAGCAGCAGCTAAGAAAATAGTAACAATAAAAGCCAACACCAAGCCAAGCTGACCCCATGATTTCTCACAAACCTTTTATTTCAGTAACATATCATGCTAGTGGTTTCATATTTCTCTGAAAATGAAAACAAATTCAGTAAAATATACACGTAAAAATAGTAATGGTCTTGCAAATACAGCATGTAATTGGTGTTTAGGCCAAGAGGTTGTAAAATGGTAAATACAGGTAGTAATGAATTGGCAGTGATCAATGAACATGTTTACCACAAAAAGACCGGAATAACCAATTGCTTTATGTGACTGTGACGCGTCAAATGATTTCTGCTAAATCAAATAAAACTTGCAAATATTTCCAGAAAGCTTAATGTGCATAAAATCTTAAATGTTTGCTTCTGCAAGACAGAACAATCAAAATATTTGACAAATGATTGAAAATGTTTACACTGTAGTATACATTCCTTTTTTCAAGACTCAATATACATATATGCATACAACAAATTCTTATTATCAATACACAATATAAAAAGTCTGGATTTCACCTTTATACAAATAGTGCATCAAATCAAGAATTTTTTTTTTAAATTACTAAATCTCAGCAACATTTGCCTGCAAAAAATGTACATTATTTAAAACGGGAAACCATTCATATTGTTAAAACATGTTTTTAAATTACCCTACCTTCCATTATCCTTCATCCATATAACTCAGCCGTCTTCCATGCTTCACAATTGTTACCTTACCTTAATCAAATTTATTATCACATGCAAACATTGCATTAATGACCACATTTTAAATTGTTAGGAATAATTAAAGATACAGCCACAAAATAGGAAGGCCACAAAAAGGCATTCAGCTTTCAGTAATACACTTACTTTGTTCAATGAAGTACCACCAGTCAGGGGCAGATCAGATATTTAATCCAATTGCTAGGGGTCTCACCTATTGGTTTCAGATCTGGCAAAATGTCCCACTTAACCTTCTTTGCGGAAGGCCTCCCTATATTAAGTACCAGACACTCATTAAGGAAGAAATAGGGCACTTAGTAAAACTTCACAAAATCAGAATCAACATGGTTTTCTGAAAACAAAATTACATTTGAAAAATTTGCTGGCGTTCTTTGAAAATACAATGAGCAGAACCAGCAGATATAGTGTGTTTGGATTTCCAGAAAGCATTCGATCAGGTGCCGCATAAAAGCTTATTGCACAAGAGTTAATGTTATTGGATGTAATATATTAGCACAGACAGAGGTTTGCTTAACATATAGAAGAGAGTCAGAATTAATCAGACTTTTCCATGTCAAAAAGACATAACTAGTAGAGTACCACAAGTCCTAGGGCTTCAGTTATTTCCTATGCATACTTGTGACTTAATGATGTAATATATCCAAATTTGTGGATGAAACAAAAACAGGTAAGGACATAAGGACATAAAGATACTGCAAGGGGAGACAAATAGGTTGTGAGTGAGCAAAAATTTGGCAGATGAAGATTAATATAGGATTCTGAGGTCTTGCACTTTGGCAGAAAGAATCAAAAGACAGACTATTACTTAAATGTAAAGAGACTCCAAGAAAATGCAGCACAGAGGGATCTGGATATTCTCATACATTGAAACAAACCATTAGTACGCATGTGCAACAAGTAATTAAGAAGCAAATAGAATTTTGGCTTTTATATCGAGGGTGTTGGAGTTTAAAAATAGGGAAGTCTTGTTCTAACTGTATAGGATATTATTTGGGTCACACCTGGAGTACTGTGTACTGTGTTTTGGCTCCTATAGTTAAGAAAGGATATATTGATAATGGAGGCAGTTCAAAAGAGATTCTCTCGGCTGATTTCTTGGGATGAAGGGGTTGACTAACCAAAAATGGATAAATACATTTGATCTTTATTCAATTTTGAAGATTGAGGAGAGTTCTTATTGTAACATACAAAATTCTGAGCTGGCTTGACAGGAAAGATGTTGAGAACATACTTCCACTAGTGGGGCAATCTCGAACTAGGGGACATAATTACAGAATAAAGAGACATTGACTTAAACTTAAAAGCAAAGGAATTTCTTCTCTCAGAGTATAGTGCATGTCTGGAATTCTCTACCCCAGAGTGTTGTGGAGGCTAGATCCCTGAAAGCATCTAAAGAGTGGGTAGATAGATTTGTGAAATATTGAGGAAGTGAGGACTATGAGGAGCTGGCATGGAGGAAGTCATGATGTTGTTGGATTAGAGGGACTGAATGGCATTCTTTGTTCTGATGTATGTTCTTAATAATCAGTGACAGGCCTTTCCCCGGATTGAGAAACCGGGGCAAAGAAATCATGCATTCTGTGAGATCAGTGCATAAAGCAGAATTGGTTGTGAGTTGAGGCCATTATCAACAATTAATTGACCACTTATGGGACTTAAATGTTGGTCAGTCAAGAGAATCCCCAATAGACCAGGACTTAATCAGTGAAAGTAAGAATTGCCGATGCTGGAGTCAGAGATAACAGTGTGGAGCTAGAGGAAGGTCTGAAGAATTTCTGAAGAAGGGTCTCAAACCGAAATGTCAACTTTCCTGCTCCTCTGATGCTGCCTGGCCTGCTGTGATTCTCCAGCTCCACACTGTGTTAGGACTTAATTAGTGTGGTGGTGAGAAGGGGAAATAATTGGACAAGTTGATCCTAGAGAGATACTTGGATCCCGAACCCTCCTTCCCATTTCCATGAAAAGAAAAGTCCACAGAGACCTACATTCTGATTTATTTAAATGTTAAATATTGACCATTTTTATTATTAACCTTAGCACAATTATTTGAATATCCTGACATTATTCAAGATAGGGAGGATCATTTGTCTCACTGCTTATAGAATCATGGAAAGTTACACCATAGGAGGAGGCCATTTGGCCCATTGTGTATGTGCCTGCTAGTCACCTGGAATCATTTAACAAGTAGTCCCAATTATTTGAGATTTTCTGTTGCTCAAAACATTTACAACGATTTTCAAATGACTCCCAGCAATGTTCTGCAACAGCTGCAGACTGTTGAAGATAGGTGCACAATGATTCTGAGAAAAAGTTAATGGTGAAAAGATAAAAGAAAGGACATATTTGATTTTTGCAATCAGCACCTGGAGCATCCTGACCCAGGAAGAGAAAGGAGGCATTGCAACATAATTTGTTGATGAAAAGGTTCCATTACATTTAAAATTTACAGGCTTTAAGAAAATGGTACCCATTAAATTTGGATATCTCATCAGTGATACAGGTCTTAATTGTGGCATCAATATTAGCCTATGGCTATAAATTGGGTATTGAATCTTGTCCAATACTTTCAGGTATTTGTCATAGTGATCAATGAAGATATTCAGACGTGAATTTGAGAAGAATGTATCACATTGAATTAGTAGTAAATAATTAATAGGTTTAAAAATAGGTAGATTCATACAATATTTTAGTTCTCCTCTTTTGATTCTAAAACTACTCTATGGATTAATCATAGATAAAAAGTGGTACCTATTTAAAAAATAAAATTGGAAATACTCAATAGGTCAAGCAGCATCTGTGCCGATCAAGAAAGAAAGGAGTTAAAGGTTTTGATGAAGGGTCAGAAGACTTGTGAAGATAGCGAACACTTATTTTCTCTACACAGATACTCTCTGACATGCATTGTGTTTCCACTATCTCATGTTTTTATTTCAGACTATGAGTACCTGAAGTATTTTACTGTTTCTGCATTAATAAATTTGATTTAATCTAGAACTGGTGCAGGTACTGATGGGGCGAATGGCCTACTTCAGTGGTGTAACGGTTCTGTGAACGATGATAATTAATAATCAACTGCTACGTTTCAGAACCCTGCCCCCAAGTCATGACCTTGCAATGAGGAATTGGGCAACAAAAAAATAAACTTGAAGGTCATAATATTGACTTGAAGTAACGCAGACTAAAGGGGTAGGTTTCTTTTCCTTTTATGTTTGGGAAGGTGGAGGCACTGAGGGACAAAACAGTAGAAGTTTAAGTTAATGTTGTACTTAATCACAGTTATAGGCAATACTCAAATAGTTATCAATAAAGCAAATTGAGTCAGCAAAGGTAATACAGCAAGCAAACTGAAACATCATGAAGATTAGAGTCAGTTTGAAGATAGAGTCTAAGCAAATCAATAGGAAAAATTAGCTTGTGTAACATACAAGGAAACACATTGCTGATACTTTGTTCATTTCACATTTTGACCATCTTCGTTATTTCTCACAATGATAGCCAGCACAGTGCGATTCTAGTGCCTGTTTATCTGGATATTAACATCCATATCACATAACCATACATATTGCTTGGACACTAAATTTAATATTTTCTTGGAAATACTAAGATAAAAGGTTTTAAAAGCTTTAAAATCTAAATTACTTGCATAATATAAATATGCACGCATTGTGATGATAAGATTACATCCAGCTATATGGAGGGGATATTGTGAATCAAAACCCTGACAAGGGTTTCTGAAGTCTGAGAAAAAAGTGATTCTACTTAAAACTTTATACATTATCCACACACGTATCAAAGATGCAATTTAATGATAAAAACAAAACTGGAATGCTACTCAACAAAACTATAATCTATTTCATTTCTAAGTTGCTTAAACCTAACTTAAATTGTCAAAGTAAAGTTCCATCACCAGTAATATCTTAATGACTTGTTTTAGTTAGGAGAAAATATTCACATTGTTTTGTTGTCCCAGTCTCATCCTTAGAAATAATTGTAACCGTACCCAAGCATAGATGCACCTCAAAGTCACCACTCAGTTGGGTCATCAGTTGTTGTGGAAAAATTGTCATATTTGTAGAATGTCATACTGTAGAATTCTTTTGACCTGTAGGTGGCACCACAACACCAAGATACTCTGGATTCTCAGCTGCAGTGTTAAAAATGTGACCATTCACCTTTGTACGTTTTGGAAAAAGATTCTGCTGGTACTCAGGATTGTCCAGGCTTACATTGCGGGTTATATTCTGGTCCCAGTGATTTGGATGCTCAAGAACTACTTTGTTACTGGGTTGGAAGGTATTCACATACTCCGGGTTTTTCACTGTGTCAGGGAATGGGCTCAGTGGTTCACTGGAATCGTGAAGCCTGCCATTCTGGTTGACAGGAATAAAAAGCTCTTGGTAGCCTGGGTTTTCCATATCAGAGGCTGGGCTTCTCAAGGTGTTAGGAAGTGGCTTATCCCCAATTTGGTTGACGTATTCTACAAATAAAAAGGGAAACATATTCAGAAAATAGCATTCAACCTTCTGACCTAAACGTGAACAGTTAATATAAACATAGTTTCTGATATGATATTTACATCCTGTAAATAAAGCACAGCAGGTTAAAAAGACCTACATTGACAAATATAATTTTTAATAAAGTCACTTTATATTCTGATAAAATGTTCAATTGAGACATTTTTACCAAAGTATGCAACCGAGTAGACTGAATCAAAAAACTGATTCTAGAGTCAGCCAGGCCACGCATTTTCTCCAATGTATAAAACAACAGTATGTCATTAGTGTAAGTTACAGTATTATACATTGCTTATAATTATGTTCAAGTATCAAAACAGAACAACATTAATACATTAGGAACACAAACCTGGGGCTGGTTGGAAACATCCATTTATGTCAACATGATCTGGGGGCATTGTTGGATCAGAGCTATAGCGTAAAATTTCACTGTCTTCTCTCTTGGGCATTCCTTCATGCTGCGCAGTTAACAATAAAAAGGGATGGAAAGTTAATAGAATTGTTGACTTCCCTTTCAAAACAGAATGCTTAATTTATGGTAGATACCAAGCATATTAGAATGACTTGCAATGTCACATTTTGACTCCTTTACTGCATGATGCAGCACAACCAGTTTGTACTTGACACCAAACTAACATCTCTTTTTAGGCGTTGGCTTAAATTGCCAAGAAGAAAACTTCTGTACAGTCTTATGTACTGTTAAAAAGCAATACTTAGTACGGTTCAATGATGTACTTTATTATTTGATTAACCTTAAGCAGATAATGAAGTAAAAATAGAAACCTAGCTGAGCTGCAAAGTCTATTCAAATTATTTGAATTTGTATTAAAGCTACAAAATGTTAATTGGTGGAAATTCCCTGCTGGTTCTCAATTGACAGAAGCCTCAAACAGACATGATTATGGGTACCTGTCAATATGATGTCAACGTTAAGACAGTTTTATCAGGAAAACCATAGAGGTAATTCTTAATGACTGGAACAGAGAGGAATAGTGCAAGCATTTTTCCAGGAATATTCTCACTTCCTTTCCTGAAGGCATGGCTTTGTGCTGAGATACAGTCCCATGGTTGTCAACAAACATCCAAGACACTTTACCAAATTGGCTATTCTTATACAGAGTGATGATTGGTGTAATATTGCTTTAAGAGCCAAATATGCTAATAAGTCAACGAGGGGGATGATATTACATCCAAACATAAATACAAACATATCAATTAGGAGCAGGAATAGGCGACTCAGCTCCATAAGCTTGCTCTGCCATTCGACAAGATAGCTGATTGGATTACTCCACATACCCACTTATTTTGGTTAACTTTTCAAACCCTTGCTTATCAGGAATATATCAACTTCTGTCTGGAAAATATTCAAAGACGCTGCCTCATTATCTTTTGATAAAAGTTTCAAATGGTGTCAGCCCTCAGAGGAAAATATTTCCCCTTCTATCTGTCTTTAATCTTGCTACAATTATATAAGGCACTAGTGAGACTGCAACTGGAATACTGTGAACAGCTTGGGCCCCTTATCTAAGGCACCTATATATTGGCATTGGAGGTAGTCCAGAGAAGGTTCAATAGGTTGATGTTGGGACTGTCTAATGAGGAGAGGTTGAGTAGATTGGGCCTGTATTCATTGGAGTTTAGAAGAATGAGAGGTAATCTTGTTGAAACATATAAGATTCTAATGGGACTTCACAGGGTAGATGCAGAAAGGTTGTTTCTCCTTCTGGAAGAGCCCAGGAACAGAAGACATAATCTCAGAGTAAGGGTTCGTCCATTTAATATATAAATTTGCAATTTCTTCTCTGAGTACAAAGGACAAGAACAAAAAACAATACAGCACAGAAACAGGCCCTTTGCCCCACCAAGCCTGCACTGACACATTTTGCCCTTCTGTACTAAAACTGTCTTCACTTACAGGATCCATATCCCTCCATTTCCTTCCTATTCACGTATTCGTCCAGGTGCTTCTTGAATGCACTATTGTGTCTGCTTCCACCACCATCTCTGGCAATGTGTTCCAGGCACTCACCATCCTTGGTGTGAAAAACATGTCTTGCACATCTCTTTAATCATCTCCCCTTGCATGTTGAACCTGTGTCCCCTAGTAATTGACCCCTCCACCCTGGGAAAAAGCTACATACTTTCCACTCTATCCATGCCATTCACAATCTTGTAAACTTCTATCAGGTTGCCTCTCAACTTCTCAGGTAGTCAATCTATTTAATTCTTCACTGCAGAAGGCTCCAGATGCCTGGTCATTAAGTGTATTCAGGGCTGAAACAGATTTTTAAATCAGTAAGAGAATCAAAGCAGGATTATCACATCAGCCGTGCTCTCACCGAATGGCATAGCAGACTCAATGGACTGAGTTAGATACTTCACTGTAGAATGTGACACTGTCAAAGTCAAACAATTAAAGGCTATTACCATTAGTAACATCGTATACCCAAAGAACACTGGTAAACATGCACTCCAACATAAAAGCTGACATAGAAGCTAGTGCAAACATGGGTACTTCTATGAGCTTGAATCTCGAAGGATATTTACCTGCATTGTTGGATGTCAACGATAAAACAAACTACAGCAAAATTAATTGCATGTAATGATCACCCATCCTTTGCATTGGTACATTCACAATGAAATACAGTCATGGTAATACTATGAGGAAACCACAAAGTTTCACCTGGTGACCATAGATGGACTAACAATAGCAGGACTACCAGTGTGTACACTGTGAACATTCAGAAAATCACCAAGATATCAATCATAGCAAAAGAGGCCAAGAATGATCATACTGCATCAGTGCAGGACATACAACAAATATACACTGATTCAAAACCACAGGAAACCTCAAAGGCAATGTTGTATTGCAAGTCAGAAAAAATGCAATTCCTCCAATTGGCGCTACCAGAATTAAAGTTCACATATTCTCAAGTTCATATCTAAGAGACGCTTAAGAATGAGCTGGACAGTATGGAGCATAAGTGTATACTTCTATTACATGCCTGCTAAAGAAAGATGGCACAATCAGATTACTTTTGATCCAAGGCATCAAAATCTTTCTCAGAGGAGATGCTGACACAAAATTCCAACATTAGAAGAACTGAATTCCAAATTCCCTCAAGTTAAATTCTCCTCCAACGTGGATGTCAAGCATGGATATTGAGTTCGCAGGTTCAGTTGTCAAAAAATCAGTAAATTACTACTTTGAGAACAACATTTGAAAAGAGATTGCTTTCAGAGATTACCTTTCAGCCTATAGGTCAGTAAGGATCTGTTCCAGCAGCATATGGAGAAAATGTTCCCCTAAGTGTTAGTATTGCTGGTGCTATTGGTCATATGTAAAACATAACAAGATCGTGAACAAAATCTACAATGGTGGCAGTATGTGGAGAAGGGATCATCTTCAGAAGAAAGAAGTTCCAGGTGATAGTAGGTCATGTCTTTTTGTTTTGGTTCTTTCTATTCAGATTATGGGATATGTGCAAACTCAGGCAAAGTCTAAGATGTACAGCACATACCTGCTGTGATGATACAATGGCTTTAAGAGGCGTATTTTGTCCTTTTTTTTAATGACACAAGGTTGAGGCAGAAGTATTGAGTGGTCTGCTTCAAAGTCAATTAAGTAAACAGCTTGCGAGGTCTTGGAGTTTTTTTTAAAAAGTTGGAACAATAGCAGCAGCCTGAATGGGTGGGGTCATGTTCCCAAAGAAGCAGGATGTAGAAACTTTCACTCCCTTCTCTGTTACAGTTAAAAGCTGGGGTTCTCTTCCAACTGCTGGAATTGCTTGTGAGACAATCTATTTTACTGAATTCGCCTTTGCCAAGGGTGTATTTATGGGATGTTACTAAATTGAAACAGTTAATTAGTAGCAGTTAATATTTATATTACATTGTTAAGTATTTTGATAGAGTTACAGTTAAGCCAATTCTTTTCTTTTATTGTTATTTTGTCTGTATTTTAATTTTACTGTATGAATAAATTGTGTTTTGTTTTAAGTCTGGTAGTTTGATCAATCGAATTGCATCCAGAACGTGATGCCCTACACTTACCTTTACAATAAGAAAAAAGTTAGGGTCTAGACTATCTTCTCAATATAGCTTGAAGGGTTTTGGTCTGGTCCATAACACTACTCCCCAAGATAAAGATGACCTGCAAAGATGTCTCAGATGTTTTAAGTTCCTAGCACCACAGAACGTTTCCAACAAAGTATTGTCATCAACACAAAGCTCTTATGGAAAGATGTACCCTTTGGATGACAGGAGGTCCATCAATACATGTTTGAGGTGCTCACACAGGCATTGTCAACAGAAAAATGTACTACGACCCAAGACATTCCTCGAAGTTGATGCATCTCACAAAATGCAAAACAATTGAATTTGGTTTCAAAAGTCCATTGCAAGCATAATCCAATTATTCCAACATAGAATGTGAAACACTTGCTCTGGTATTTGGCATCAAACACCTGTTTAGTATGCAATTTACTGCAGAAAGGATTAAAAACCACCCGAAATGATTGGCCACAAACCATTGACAAGTGCATCACCTAGACTGTAACAACTCATCCTAAATATACAGCAGACATATATGCCAGGATAAAACTGGTACCAAAATTGTTACCTCGAATACATTGAACATTTGACTAATTCTGAATAAGGATGTAGAAATTCTTCTTGATATACAGATAACCACTATGGACAATGAGGTGGAAGACATGCTCAAAGTCAATCTGATGATTTTTGATCAGTGCAAATGCAACTAACCTCTGAAGGTAATGGAAAGTTATTGCAGAAGCATGGCCTGACAAGATGAAAGAAGTGTCAGACACTTTCAGATGATTTTAGCCCAACAGCAGTGAAGTTAATAGGTCTCCAGAGGCATAATTTTTAAAGGCAATTTTAAAGAGAAACAAACTTGTATTTGAATGTTTTTGCCAGGAATTTTTTTCACTGCTACAACAGCATTATACTGGCATAGAGTGAACAAGACACCTGGATTAGAACATGTATTGGACAGAGATCAACAATGACATCAAGAAGGCACTGCTGATGTGTAAAGCATTGCCAAAGTCACTGACCACAGTAACATCACAAACCTCTTTACTCTCATCAGACCCCCATCAGTCTCTTGCGCCAAAATAGTGACAGACTTGTTGGTTGATTGATTGATTTATTGTCATGTGTACCGAGGTACAGTGAAAAGCTTTGTTTATGAGCAGTACAGGCAGATCATACTAAGCAAGGATGTACAGATCAAAAAGACTTAGAGGCATACAGGTTACATTGCACAGGGTGTGCCCTAGGTGAAATGAACATTAGCAAGATCAGCATTATTTGAGGCTAGAGAGTCCATTCATCAGTCTAGTAATGGCCAGAAAGAAGCTGTTTCTGAACCTGATCGTGCATGTGTTCAGGCTTCTGTATCTTGTGCCTGATGGAAGAGGTTGTAGGAGAGCATTACTGTGGTGTGATAGGTCGTTCCTAATGTTGACAGCTTTTACGCAGCAGCGAGCTGTGTAAATGAAGTCCATGGATGGAAGGTTGGTTTCCATGATGGTCTGGGCTGTGCACACCGCTTTCTGTAGTTTCTTATGGTCTCGGGCAGAGCAGTTCATCACAGTAGGCTGTTATTCACCTGGACAGTATGCATTCACTGGTGCATCTGTAGAAGTTGGTGAGGGACCTTACAGACATGCCAAATTTCCTGAGCCGCCTGAGGAAGAGGCATTGTTGTGCCTTCTTGACTGTCGCATTTATGTGGAAAGTCCAGGACAGACTGTTGGTTATTGTCAAGTCAGGACAACCCAGCCAAACCATCATCTGCCCAAGTTCTCAGAAATGCAGAAAACAACCGTCTCAGAAAAACAAGGGAAAGAGGGAAAATGGCACATGACTGACATACACGGGTGAAATTGCCTTATCTGTGCAGAGGGCAGAATGCCAGAGTTACATATTTTATGCACAGAACCTGATTACCCAGGTTCAAGATATGCATATTCAAGATGTGCAGTGAGTCTAGATTCTATTAAGTCACAACATCTAATGAATAACAATGAGAAACAAAATTGAACTCAGGGAATTGCATAATATTCCATCACAAGAACCAACACTCTAATAACATGCATGATACTAACTCACATATGAGTTGAGAAAAACAACAGCTGCAAAGTCCAGATCTCCAGAAGGATACACCATTACAAGACCTGGAAGGATTGTCAAACTGCTTATATGTTATATATAGATAACACAGTGTGGAGCTGGAGGAACACAGCAGGCCAGGCAGCATCAGAGGAGCAGAAAAGTTGTCATTTGGGTCGGGACCCTTCTTCAGAAAATCTTCTTACTATCTCTGAGTGAGTTATATGTTATATAGTTGCTTAGATTCAGATATTTCAATTTTCTAACGTTTGTTACTACGTAAATTGTTTTGCAACTTCCCAAATATATACGTTTTTTCACTCTGGGTGCTTGTAATTTTATCTTGGCAAAAAGGGGATATTCATTATTGCTTCAAGAGCTGTGTTATTTTAAGAACAGTGCATGCTATTAAATGAGGACCAGGATGACATGAACAAAAACCAACTGCCATGAGAAGTTTAGCAGCAGCATGCTCGACTGAAGGTGTATGCTTAAGTTGCCCAGTAATTACAAATTATCAGTTTGTCTGATGATAAAATCTATTCGAGATTTCCATGTAATTTGAACCTAGCCAATCCACTATGAGACTGATAATTCTCTGTTAAGGAATATAATTCAAGAATACAATAGTGACCAAATAATCAATTTGTATTGGACAGCACAAAAGATCCAGCTATCCAGATGTGAACAGTTTTTAGCTGCGGTAATGGAATTGAGATCAAAAATGGGAATCATTAAGATTTAGTTTCAGATCAAATGGCATTGATAGTAGTAAATAAATAAGTAACCTATGATATGCAGAGGAACAAGCTGATAGACATCACATTTAAACACAATCTTCCTGTCATGTTAACAATTGTGAAGCTTCAGTCAGTAAAAGTAAATGTTATGAACTGTGTTATTGATCAGTACCATTTAGATAAAACTTCATTAATACAACAACTCTAATGTATTGCATCTCCAAAAAGACAGAGCATCTGTCTGGATAATTAATAATTGTTTTGACCAGTTAGTGATTGGAGCTAGAAAGAGTTGCTATTACTTTCCAAAGCTAATTCATAAAAGCAAAGAATAACGGTTTGTAAAAGTTTACCAGTTCATCTATCAATAAATAGGAACAAATAAGTTCAATACTGTTGCAGCACAGAGAAAAATATTTATAAAGGTAATTTTTATTGTTTCGAAAATTTTTCTAGAGATATGACCCAGTTTTACATACTGTGATACTGGATGCTCACATACTGTATCCTTCTAATGTATAAAATTGATATTTGCAACTAGTTTGTTGAGTTAGAAAATTGATATCTGCATCTTAAAGTCTAAATAATCTCCATTGAGAGGTACAGTATAACATATCCTTAAATATGAACACTTCCTCCTATTCTAGATACTGCTAAGTAGAAGGCAACCCAGCTAACATGCAGTTTTTAAATTTGCTCTTACTATTAGATCTTATAAGCAAAGATCACTCTATTAATTTTGCTGAGATTTTCTTTGGATCATTTTTAATTAACTCAAATAGTTATTTATTAAATGACCTGGTGTTGAAAAATTCAATTAAATGATCTTATAAGTTTGCAATAATGGAAGGGCTAATTTACCTATCTATTGTGAAAACAGGTTTCTCTAAACCTTTAAATCTGTCTGAATTAATTTATTAGATTGATGGAGTCCAAACAGCTTGGTTAAATCGTGAATATTGCTAAACTAATGAGGTCTTGTGTGATAAATTTTCTATTGATTTAACAAAATGCAACTACTGCTTAACATGATTTTCTTATCTCTGCTGATAATTACTGAAGACAAAGGAAATTGGAAACATGATTTTGATTTTCCACTTACGCCATTTCTGGGAATTAATGTTGATGAGTTGTTGCTTGTCACACTCTGTTGGCAAAAAAATCACAAGTAATGGGTAAATGAGGAGAAGAAACATTGGCAAAAGTCCTTTCAATTAGTAGATTATGCTAAATTAGAATCTAGTTTCTCTTTGCAGAACGAAAACATTATGTAGTGTATGGTGACCTGATAAATCAAACCAGCAACAACATTACATTGTGATGTGCAGGACTATCAATATCAGCACTTATAGTATTGATCAATAAACTAAACTGCAAATCAATGATACAAATTCATGCAACTGTAATCCTCAGTGAAAATTTATCATGAAAAAGAATCTCTGAAAGCCAGCCGAAGTAATGCTTATCAAATTGTTACACTCAATAGGTTTATTCTTAAGAGTTTAATGTGTAAAGGTTCTAAAGCATAAATATTAAATGTTATTGATCAAGTTATCATTGCCCTTTGCACATGAAAAAAATTACTTGATAGTATGGAATTGAAAAGATAACATCAAGCCAGAGGCAGAAACACCTATTCACATCTCCATTGAAAGGTTTGTTGAGAATAAAGCAGCAATACTAATATGACAATAATACCGAAGGCCTATTGCCAAATATTAAACCACTGAACCATGAAGTTTAAGAATGAATTCATCACTTGCCATAACGTCAAGTTGTAATTTAGCAATTTAAGTTGGAGATTTAAAATGACTCCACAGGCAATTAAGGTTGAAATGACAATATACAGATATTGGACTGGAATTTGTGGTGAGAGTAACCACAAGGCTATCATGCTCAATGTTATTAAAGAATGAACTGAACAGCAAGTTCTGGTGTCCTCACATGTGCAGTTAAATGCAGGATTTGATGTCTAAGCTACCCTGTTCAAAGGTTTGTGAAAATGATGCTGAGAGACTCAGTGTTGCATCTTACAAAGGACACAGAGTGGGGGTTCTCACATGATTGAAAACCGCTAAACTTGCCCGAAAAGTTTGACTTGTGTCTAAATAAGCTTTTAATACCATGATAGGTCTTCATTACTACAATACTACCTTTCAGGCTCTCAGGATGAACATTTACAAATGAGGGGAGCCATTGCTTCACATTTTAATCATAATTGGACATTTAAAAAATACACTGTTTTTAACTTTTGTCTTTGTTTATTATATCTCAATCTTAATACTTGTCTTTTTATTTATCTTTCAGCACATTAAATTATCTATTTTAGCATACATTTCCGGTTTAAAAGTACGCTGCTCAATTTAATTAAGGATTAAGAAACACCATTCCTTGCCCTGCTTACATAGCTTTCACTTCCTTTGAGTTCAACACGCACAGGAGTAACATTCAGGGGATGCTGTTTTCTTTTGACATTTTAATTACTGCAGCCTAAAACGTGAGACTAGAACATGGAAAAGCAGAGACAGTGAAGTTTTAACATTCCATACAGATTAGTAAAATAAATTAAGACTATAATTTTCTTTTCTAATAAAATTGCATTGAATTATGTTTTTAAAAATTTGCAATTACTATAGAAAAAATAATTTACACTTTCTTTAAGAAGCAATAATCAAGACTACCACTTTGTCAATGAGCAACAATTAGTGGCCTTACTAGCAATGCTCAGAGTTCATTAAAGAGTATGAAAAAGAAGAAACAGTTCCTGCTCTTGGCATTAGGTTAAACGCAATAATGATATACATGCAAAAAAGATGCTGTGAAATTGATTTACAAACTGAGAAACCCACCACTGATGGACATAAGGGTGTCCTTGATGTGGAAGGACTATTGAAGAATCCTGGATGAGGAACAAGATAGTCGTCGGCATCCACAATATCTTCCATTTCTTCTTCCTCCATTATTGTACGATAAAATCGTGAGTTTGTTGGGCTTGGTAGATGCATGTGATCATCACCCTAGCAGAATAATCAGTCTATTAAAACTTTTATCCTAAATTTGGTGCAATTTTTTTTACTTTATTCATTCATGGGATGAGGGCATCCCTGGCTAGGCAGTATTTATTGCCCGTCCCTAATAGCCCAGAGGGCAGTTAAGAGTCAACCATATTACTGGTGGATCTGGAGTCACATGTAGGCCAGACCAGGTAAAGATGGCAGTTTCCTTCCCTAAAGAACATTAGCGAACCAGATGAGTTTTTCTGACAATCGAAAATGGATTCACAGTCATCATTAGGTTCTTAATTCCCAATATTTACTGAGTTCAAATTTCACCATCGGCTGCGGTGGGATTCAAACCCAGGTCCCCAGAACATTATCTGGGTCTCTGGATTAACAATCAGCGATAATACCATTGGGCCATCACCACCCCCTTAATTCCAATTAGGAATTACAGTTTATTTATGCAATGCAGGCAAAGTAATGTAACTCCCCAATCTTTGACAATGAAAAGACCATTTTAATTTTTTTATTTCCAAAAGGACACATCCAAACATCAACTTCTGTGACAATGTTCCAATCTTGATACAATTTATCAAAAAAAAATCATCAAATATATCTGCCTTAAGGAATAAGCACTCCTTGAATATTCTCTCTGGGAATCAACCAAAATAATTAACTACAGTATTTGATGTGATCTCTGTAGTGTTAGCATGGACAGGCAATTCACAATTTGTAATCTCATGCTGATAAACTTTTTTAATTTGGAGCATTTTAGAAAGTTTGAAAGCTGCATTATTGTCTTACTGCTACAATGCGCAGCTACTAACTAAGCTATCAAGGTATAAAGATCTTTCCCCAAGCACAACTTCCGAACAGTTTATACAATACAGTTGTCATACAGAATTTCCTATATAGAAATCACATTAAGATTTTCAGAAAAAAGTGAAATGATCGTCAGTATCCATTTGTCACAGTTAGAAAGCCATTAAGCTTTTGCTTGCCTGCTAGAAATTTTGAAGATGAATTTGCCTTCAAAGCAACAGCTTTCTTTACTATTATAAGGAATCTCTGATTTACAAGTCCCTTACCTGAACTACAAGATAGCGTGATGGATCTCGGGCCATTCGGGAGAATTCAGAGGTCAGCTCACGGAATCTAGGCCGACTTTCTGCATCAATCATCCAACCTAATTGGCAAAGATAATTTTGCTCTGAAGTTACCAACAGAAATGTATAATCTTAAATTTCACTGAATAAAGCTCCTAGTCAGCACACATTACATGTACAATTCCAATTCTCAGAGAAAATATTCAATTACTGATTTGTCAGCAAAACAACCCAGTGATCTAACATGGAGTGATCTCTTTTCACTAACTACCTATTTGTGAAAAATTAAAACTTACATAATAATTAGACTTCTTCATCTAGATTCAGCAGTTATTTGAATGATCGAAAACATGAAGATGCATTGGTGCAAAGTCAAATCCATTTTTGTTGACATTAAACTTGTGTCATGAATGCTACATTGAGCATAAACACAGATTCTTGAATTATAATCATTCATTTATCAGGATTTATTGTTGCATGGATACACAAGGGAATTTTTCTTTTCTGGTGAATGCATTTGGATTTTATTTATCGTGCTGAGAAGAGGAGAAAGCAAGATGGTTGGCTCAAACATCATTAAGCTTAATCTAATTAAATCAAACATTGCAATCTAGCTTGAGAGTTTGATCATATGTTATATACTTTCAGGAACAAATTGTTAAACTTTTGAAAATCATGGCAAATAGTATGATACACAGGACTAAAAACAGCATTTGTTTTACTTATTATTCTTCTCCCCAATTTCCCATGCTCCTCTAATCAAAGCACGAATTAATGCTGGAGAATGATTTCTCTCTGCATGCTCTCTTCAGCAAGCGTAGCAATTCCTCATGGGTGAACTTAGAAATGAGGTATCAACAGGCTATTTGACATTGCAACACATAATTTCTGCACAAATTGATTAGATTGCTGTATTGTGGTACTGAGGCTAATTATGGTGAGCTTAGTATTACCTCTTGATACCATTAAAGTTAACTCATTAAAATCACGGATTAGTAAATAGAATAGAATTTGAATAGTTTTTAACATATTATTTACAAATACACTTACAAAAACACAGTTGGGAAACAAAGATATCTCAATTGTCATACCTGCCCCTCACCAAGTCCCAAACAACAGGTTAGATACAACAAGAATATTGGTCTAAACAACTTACATTTAACCATGATCATGTATACATCAATTGTACAGATTGGAGGCTGTGGCAAACGTTCTCCTTTCTCCAAGATAGATGGGATTTCACAGGCAGGAATTCCATCATAAGGCTTAGACCCAAATGTCATTAGCTCCCAAACGGTCACACCTAAAAGAAATGATTTAGTTCTAAACAAGTAAGTTTTAATCACTCCTGAATCTATGTATAGTAAACAATTGACTTCTTCACCTTCCCAGTTCAGGGATACCAAAAGCGACCGAGGTTACTTATCGCCAATGCATCTCTACCTTCAGTGAGATAACCAGTCATTTAAACTAGCTATTAGTCCTTCGATTATGATATTAAGATTGGAGGTAAACTGGGGCGATTAACACATTCTATGGTCCTCTCTAAATGGTGACAAACTGTTATTCTTTAGACAATTATGTACAAGCTGAAATATTTGTAAGCTAGCAAATGCACTCTTAGCAGGAGAGCATCAAAAACTTAGATTCTGGAGCATACTAATTCCATTAACTTACTCTTGTTACTAAGCAATGATATCTGGGCTGACTTGGCCATGTTATCAGATGAATAAAAGCAGTATACCCAAACACATTCTGTGGGAAGCAGATCACTCTGAGCTACTGGCTTGTTGGACATCCACACTTCCGTCACATGTACACTTGAAAGTGATTTATGGACATAGAAAACATCGACACTGATAATGGGGTGACATTAACTAATGGCTCTCACCTTTAGAGTCTAACCATTTCAAAGGGCATTGGAAGAGGTGAGCAGAAACAGAAAGTCAGCGAGCTGAAAAGAGGGTTCAGAGAATAGAGGCGCCATTAATCCTGTACCTTGTCAGGCACTGTCTTTCTCTGCAGCAAATGTAGTACAGAATGCATTGCCGGAGTGAGGCTCCTGAGACAATATAAGTGATGCTTAATACAGTTGAACACCAGGGCGCAACCCAGTGTTTCAATAGATAGCAGACTACCGCTTAGTAAAGCAAAAGTTACAAAATACAGTCAGTACAAAAGAAGTCACAATACTTTCTTTCAAATATATTTTCGTACACCCCATCAACTGATAAACATTTCTATAAAATAGCCTGTTTTAGACATCACAATGCAATAAATGAGCAATCTAATTCTGTTATTAACCTCACAGAGACCAACTCTGAAGACTTGATAAAATGTGTTCCTGGTTTTGCATATCTAATAATGGATGTTTAATTTCATTAATATCAAGAATAAAAAGTCTCTTGTCTATTTTTGAGGCTAGGCCATCCCCAATCAGATTGTTTCCCAGCACTCACATCCATAGCCTTTAGAACATACATAGAACATAGAACAGTACAGCACAGTACAGGCCCTTTGGCCCAGGATGTTGTGCCGACCTATTATCCTACTCTAAGATCAAACTACCCTGCATACCCTTCATTTTACTATCATTCATGTGCCTAACCAAGAGTCGCTTAATTGCCCCTAATGTATCTGACTCCACTACCACCGCCAGCAGCGTGTTCCACGCACCCACCACTCTCTGTGTAAAGAACCTACCTCTGACATCTCCCCTATACCTTCCTTTAATCCGGCTCCTTACATATCAACCCCTACTTAAAATTCTAAGTCACGCTAGACTTCTGAACTTCCAATTGTCTAACTTTTACTCCCCCATTCACTACAACGTATTTGCCTGGCTGTCAATCTGCAGGCATATCCCCACCATCTCCAATATTCACCACTACCTTTGATGCCCTTACTCCACGAAAAAAACATTTACTCTCTTCCATTCTGCTCCATTCCTCTGGTATAGCTATTATAATAAGATAATATAACTAATATTTTCATAATGATATTACTAATTTTCACTTTTTATTACTTCAGGCCATCACAATCGAAGCTTTTTGAAATTCAGTCATTTGCAATGTAAGGAAATGTTACAGTCAAAATTCAACAGCAATAAGATAAATAAATACTTCATCAAGGCGCTAATGAGTTCCATTGACTAGATGGCTAGCATGTGGTCCAGAATAATACCAAGAATACAGAATCTATTCTTGTTCTGGCTGACCCACACTTGGAATCTGTCTCTTTATCCTATCCCACAATAAGTGACAGGCAATGGAAAACCATCACTAAGAAAACAGCTCAGGATCAAGCAGGCAATAAACAAAGGATCTGCCTTTAAGCACAGCACACAATATCATCATAAAACAGTTATAGTAGTGATCAGTGAGAAAGGATTGGTTAACCAGGATGTTGGGAGAATACCAGGAGAACTCCATTACTCACATGGGAATTTTTTTAAAGACGAACTGTGGAGTTTAGATAGGATATCGGTTTGCTATATTATGTAGAGGACTGTGGGTAGATTGATGCAGCCCTGGAGGTGGAGTGGGAACTCAATTAGAAGGATGTTGGCATCCCACTGTCAGACCGCCTAGCCCAAATTAGGTTCTGGGCAGGAAAACGCAAGCTAGACCCTCACACGAACTGAGGCCTTTCAGTAGCTTATTAATGACCAGATAAGAGGCTATTTCCAACTAGGCAGCAATTATCTCCATTCCAGGCAGGATGAGAAAGGATTGGCTCACCCAACTGGTAGCCACTATGCAGGCTGTCAGGTGAGGGGCAATCCTTGCTCTGCACTGTTTTGTGCAAGATCGGGAGGAGGATGTGGGTATAAGGCACAGAGATGGCCGCTGACACCCACACGATGCCCTTGCTTCTGAATTCCCTCACCCCTCTCATTGTGACCCCAACCCCATAAACAACTCCTTCGCCCTTCTAGCTGAGACCTCAGTCCTCAGGATGCTGGGCATCCTCCCGGTAGTAACCGTGGCAAGGCTGCTGAGGGTAAGAGATGTCGTCATTTGTCTGTGTGGGCAGGATTCCTGCTTTCGGGAATATGACTTTGGAAAAAGCCCCCCTCCCGTTGCCCTCTGTTACCTGATTGAAAGAAAACTTGACAGGCTTTGCTCTGAAACTTTGGGTCTCTCATCACTTTTTCAGAAGTAAGTGACACACCCAATGATCCTGGCCTGTAACTTTGAATTGGACTGGAGCATCAGCCTAAATTTTGCATTCACTTACATGGGCTTAAACCCATAAATTTAAGTGATATCGCTAAGGCAAGACTCATACCTTGAAGAGGATTACACATTTTAGGTTTAAGAACGATACCACTTAACCAATGCTGATAGTTAATGGACTATTTCTTGCATTTTAAAACATGATTGCTAGTAAGACTTACCATAACTCCAGATGTCACTCTGATGGGTAAACGTCCTTTGGAGGATCGACTCCAGTGCCATCCATTTGATGGGTAACTGCAGAGAAGAGGATGATAATCATTTCTAATACTTAACAGCAACAACTGAACAATTAGCTTGAAGATCTGATTGTGAAAGGGTTTCACATATTGAGCCAGTCCAGAATAATGGGCCACAAACTTAAAGTTAGCCTGAGGTAATTTGGGGGTAAACGCAATCATTTTTCACACAAATGAACATGCAAGTCAGAACCTCATTTGCACTGTCAATTGTGTTTAAGTGTTGGAAATACTGCACAGAGAAACTGCATATACAAACATTAAACCAACTGTTGTCTCGTTTAACGGTTTGATTCACTAAAAGGATATGCTATTAGGCTTTTTTTAAAAATTGGTATTGTGGCAAAATCTAACTACTTTTACAATCAACTCTCTGGCCACAATCAGAGCTGTGCTACTTTGTTCTCCTCTTTCCTTTGCCAACTTTATGCTGCAAGGTTACCCATTCAATTACCATTTTGTGTGACAGCTGGTCAACAGTCATCTCTTATTTCGAAGTGAATCTATGACCAATGTTAAGTTACTGTAGTGTCTAATTACAGAGGAAGATGTAGTATATCACTGACCATCAATAATTAATCAAGACACCTGTGCTCCATTCTAGATCGTTATTTAGAGATATCAGTTCTTACTTTTCCACCATCTTCATGGTATTCCTTTTCATCCACATCCAGGAGCCTGGCAAGTCCAAAGTCTGTAATTTTAATGTGATGTGGTGTCTTTACCAGAACATTCCTTGCTGCCAAGTCCCGATGTACCAACCTTCGCTCTTCCAAATAGCTCATTCCCTGTAAAAATCAATTCAAGTTTTGTGCTGTAATATTTTATAAATCAACTTCAGAGTTGTTTCCATTAACTCCTCAACCCAGGAGGTATAAAGATAGCTTACTGCCCCAAGCACAAACACCCCACTGGCATGATTCTATCCCCTCCATAGCTACTACATTGGGCTAAACCAAAGCTGACTGTTGATAATATTCGATGTGTCCAAAGACTTCAGTTTCTTCCAGTTCATTTATAAAATGCTAGTGAAGTCTCATTTCTGACTTGACATATGCATGAATGGAGAAATCTTAGATCATTATAAGTTTAACTGCAGAAAGTAAGTGTACACCTGAGTGCTAGAAATAGCTTTAAAAACTACAAATTATGAATAGACTTTAAATAAAAATGTGTTTTAATATTAATAAGTATTTGATGCATTACCTATAAAATACTAGAAGTATGCAGTCAAAACATGAGCTCCCAACCCTATTCCTATGATAAAATCCGAAAGAACTGCAGATGCTGTAAAGCTTTTTGTTCCTGTTCCTATGATTGTGTCTTGGTGTCCTCCCTCTCCTGGATCCTGGCAGGCTACCCTTGTCGTCGAGCTTTTAGCAATATCTTAGGAAACCCTTAACCAGTGTACTCTTCCCATCTGAAAGTCCACCACTACAACAATGAGAATCATATGGGCCTTGTATCCAGGTGGAAATGCTGATAAGATATGCTTCAGATCCCAATTTGATCATGGAATTAACTAAACAGTTTCAAGCACAGCTGCTTACAACCTAACATTTTCAATCTGACTTTGGAAGCTCAGGCTATCTACCGTTAGCACACATGTTGCTGCCATTGTCTTTAAATATACACCCACTGCACATTCTTCCCAGTAAAAAAAACCTGGGCCCCCTTTAATCTCTAACAAACCACTCAGGTTTGTTGTCAGGCAGACTGCAGAACAGTCACATATAAGAATCCTATTAGCCTCATAAATGTAACATTTTAATTAATATTGAAACAAACTGACAGCAATGATATTCACATTCAAATTTACAACAGCTATGACAGCTCTGATGCCATTTTTCAAATTGACCTTTGAACTTAGCCTTATTCTAGGTGTTGTAAAATCAGTTAACAACAATACTGTATAAATTATAGTATGTTGTCGCTGCTACCTAGGCTTGATTGCTGCTCGATTTACCCTGAGGGAAAAGATAATTAGCTTGGACAACTGAAGCTGATGAGGGCAGCAAGTTTGAACATAAGATCACAGCTATATTAGACATGTTAAAATTTAAATCTAAAGTGTAAAAATTATGCCAACAAAGGAAATGCTTGAAGGGGCAATGAATCAACAGACAGTATGCACACAGTTTTTGCTTTCACATATACAGTTAAGATCTGCAAAATATTTGCAATCAAGTAGTAACTTTATTGCAGCAAAACTTCTTTAAATACTAGAGTTCTAGTTATCTTTTCTCCAAAGGCCTTAACACACTCAAAACAGTTTATTCCTGTAAAAGCTATGAAGAAGCCGCTTATGTACAAAATCTAGGAATACGAAGAGTCTGGATGTGTGATTTGTTACAGAATATGTGTTTAATTGGGAGTGGTTATTTTTCTGGAGCTTACAGGGCAGGTTTACTTCTAATGAGCTCAAGGTTTATTTGAGGAATAAACACTCATATTTCCTTGAAATTTGCCAGTTATCATTTCAACATCCATCAAAGAAAACAACATCCTAATAACCAATCTTGTTCCATGACTAAGCCCCTGTTTAGGCTTCAAGTTTCATAACAATATCATAGTTGCTCTTTCCAGGAGTCCAATTTTGTGCACTGGCATGTCCATTGGGATTACAGTGTGCAACCATAATCCCATTCTTGCTTTCCTCATCCCTTCTATCAATTTCATCTTGTCCCTCATAGACAGAATCTCTCCAGCCAAAGTAACTTTGTTCTTGGGCTCCCCTGAACTTCCACTATTTTTGTTCCCCATCAGCAAAGCACCACAACTGCCACACCAAACTGTTTTCATTGACTGCTACCAACATTCGCAGCCGCACATGAATCATGTACTCCATTTGCCTCTGCATGTGCCAGGCACCATCCATCAAATAAATCCACCGACAGAAGCATCCTTAAACCAGCCAGACCAACAAAAACTGAGTATTATTTTCATAGATTACGAAAAAATGCATCATTATGAACAACTTAATTTTGTTTCATCATCACAGTTCCACAGTCAGTTTCTGTCATAAAGTGTGATTGAATTCCACTTTTACCAACAAGGGATATATAAATATAAATGATATTATGTACCAAATAAAGAAGTCTCAGGACAATCCTTATAGACAACTGCACTTACGGGATATCAGTTGAGATGAATCTCTGCAATTTAAATATCCTCAATTGCATATGGATTTTGCATGACTATACCACTTGTAGTGAACAGATTATTTCAGTTTTCAAGCAAATTGAAGCATGTAAATATACTGAGCAACTTGAAATCTATTAATGTTAAAGCTTAATGCTCTGCGCATGTGTGCTAATAATCTCCCTTCCTCCCAAATATAACTTGAAATCATATATTAGAGTCATTTCTATAGATCTTTGAGTATGTGGGACAGCAGGCTGGATTCAGAATGATCCCATTCTAAACTCACTTTTTTTCATCCTTTTTGATGTTTCAAGTAAAGCTTTCCCGCTAAGCTAATCAACTGCATGGCCAATGAGCATTCTAATAGGTAACATATATCCCTGTTCCATGATAAATAACATGTGCGCATGGCTCATGGAAAATATTGTAAAGCACTACACACTAAACAAGAACAGGCTTCGCACAGCAACCAAATTTTAAAGGGAACACTGCTCATTGTGGGCTCCAATTTTAAAACTAATAAACTGTCACATAGTGGCTCTGTTGATGAATCAGTTTCCTCTGAAGCAATACCTATGAATGCCTTTTTGAAAGCTGTTAGAACCATATCAATTACATGCTACAAAAATACTCCTCAATCACAGTATAAGGCCAATTTTCTTCTGTTCTGAATGCACATGGCTTCTTAAAAATAGATGCAAAAGAGACAAATGCATACTACTCCTTCACTCCCATTTTGCTTCCCCATAGCAGTGAACACATATCTATATACAATGCTTCCTGTGCCTATACCTGAACAGTACTCAGTATTGTAATTATCATTGGAGCAAATGTTAGACAGTTGGCATTAAAATGCCATTTTTCATATAGTTTAGAAGATGCTGCTGAATTCTGAGCTCTTTGACTCAAAACCAAATTGCACCATGTCATCAAAAACAAGGAGAATATCCTTGCATTCAAACCAGTGGTGGTGGTGCATACAGTTTCTTCAGAGAGTCCAAAGTGATATGGCAATATATACTTTTTACGTGTGTGCTTAGCCTGGAACAATGGATAGTGATGGCACAGGTTCCAACTTTCATCAAATGATCAGGAACCTTTCCCACTTTCATCGATTGCCATTGGCATCAGTTAAAAGGCTTTGCACGTCGATATTCAAAACATTTGACTGTGTTATGGACACAGGTTTCATGACCAGCAGATCCTGGGGTGGAACTTAAACTCAGAGAGTTTCTAGTTCAGAGGCAGGGATGCTACACGCAATGCAGCAGGGCCTCCCAATTCCAAGTAGATATATTCTCCTCCTATTTTGTATGTGAAGACATCCAATTCATTGTACGGTGATACAGAAAGGCCACCTAGTAAGACTGACTGTTCTCTCTGTGTTGCGGCAGCTGACTCCTCACTCAGGCCTCTGTCTAGAACATTGTCTAAACACACATGAAGTTCCACATAAACATACTGCACTCTGGCTGAACCTGATGAGTAAATGTATCCAAAAGTTGAAAAGCATGCTTAATAGACACTTCAATCAAAGATGGCAAAGTTTGAAGGGAAAAGGAATACCATAAGTGCAAACAATCCTTGAACAAAGTAGCAAAGGATGCACTTATTGTTAAATATTTTTCTGACAGGCTACCTTCTTCGTAAAAAAAATGTGATCTCCTTTCGAAGATTGACCTTTTTAACTGTACATAAACAAATTTTAAAACCTAGGAGTAGTCCATTCTTCATACAGTAATAGCTTATTAAATTACATCTTAAAGTTGTTTAAAATGTTAAAATGAAGGAGCTGAAATATCAATTTTTATGGATGATAGATCTTGAGAGAAGCAGTTGCTGTTCACAGAAAGAATATTTTATTGCAGTTAAATTATCCTTATTTAGTAGGTCTGCTCAGTCTTTTTTAATCGAATCTAAGCCCCAAGAAAAATGTTCACAGAATAGTTTATTTTTATACTCTTGCCTTTAACAGTTGATATTTATTGGTCTAGTCAACTTGTCAAATTGTTGGGTGGATTACATTCTAGTACCTGATTTATAGTCATATTATAATCCCCACTTAAGCTTACACTACCATTTGTCTCTTGTACTACCACTGAGAGATCAGCACAATTATTCTATTCAATGTTTGTGATGTTTTCCATCTCTAGTCTTTTCAGCTCTTACTCTTTTTTCACATAGTAAACTGGAGGAGGTTTGCAGCAAGAGATCTGACACCTCTCTCAACCCATATGTTGGCGTTATATCCTTGAATTGGGTGGCCAGTTTCAGTAAACACCCAAGGGTTCTTGGCAATCATGTCATCTTGTCTCGTGAGTTTTGATTCTAAGTGAATCTCTTTTAACTTCAGTGTTCTTAACCAGTTTCTTCCAAGCAACGGTGCCTTTTGACAATGATAAGACCATAAGAGAGCATGGGATAATTAGTAATTTTGTCACTGCTTCTTGTAGATGACGGGAACTGTTGCCCTTCCCATTATGAGAATGTTCTCTCCTCCATAACTTCTTCATGCTGCCTGTGATTTCTCCAAATGATAGGGACTCAATTTTTGGATAGTGATTCAGGAATCACACTGATGGATACCCCCATATAATTGGACTACAATGCCCTGAGAATGTTCATTGGACATCCTTGTGCTTCTTATGGCATGGATCTCTACTAAATTCTGCTGCTACTCAACAGCCATTTGCAGTGACTGCTGTTTCCTTCCACCAATATTTTGTGACTTGCGTTGGCAAGATGATCCCTTTTCTTGTAGCTGTAGCACTCTACCCTCACAATGTGACCATTCTGTGCCCAATGTTGGCTAAGACATCAGTAACAGGACTTTGTAACTGCCTTTGTTGGGGCCTTCGGCTTACTTAGCTGCACTGAATTACTTCAGCAGATCACTGGCAGTTGTCAACTTTGCCCTCTCGAGTCACACTATGCCATATTCATGGATAATACTGAAAATGCCAGAGAACTTCAGCAGGTCTGGTAGCGTCTGTGGAGACAGAAACAGAGCTGACAAGACACTTCAGGTCCAATACAACTCTTCTTCAGAACACTCCCTCACTATTATCCACTTCTGAAGAAATCATACTAGACCTAAAACATTAACTCAGTTTCTTCTCCACAAATGCTAGAATACCTTCTTGGGTTTCTCCAGCGTTCTCCAAATTTGTTTCAGATTTCCAGCGTTCACAGTATTTTGCTTTTACTCATGAATATTTTTGTTTGGCAATAATGTCGAAGAATGAGATAACACAGTGTGGAGCTGGAAGAACACAGCAGGCCAGGCAGCATCAGAGGAG